ACAATGAGTTCACTGTACTAAAATGGCCCCCACAGTCACCAGATCTCAACCCAATAGAGCATCTTTGGGATGTGGTGGAACGGGAGCTTCGTGCCCTGGATGTGCATCCCACAAATCTCCATCAACTGCAAGATGCTATCCTATCAATATGGGCCAACATTTCTAAAGAATGCTTTCAGCACCTTGTTGAATCAATGCCACGTAGAATTATGGCAGTTCTGATGGCGAAAGGAGGTCAAACACCATATTAGTATGGTGTTCCTAAAAATCCTTTAGGTGATTGTATATATATATATATATATATATATATATATATATAAAAAAAACCTTGATAATAAAGCATATGCATGTAGATTTAACTCATCCTGTCTGGATAATAAAGTCTTCAATAAAAGCAGTCATCATGGTCATCAAGGTATGTTTTGTGTTTGTGGTCTGCAGTCTTTAGTATGTGCTGTCTCTACAGGTACATCCATCTATCTGACTTCCAACTGCTTCCCCTGGGAGAGGATGTTATGCTGGGCTGCCTGGCTCATAAGGCATCGATACACCACAAATGCATCCATGTCCATTGCGGGGCACATATTTAGACACATGCCCAAAACCACAATCACACACTATAGGCAATTTAGAGATGGCAATCAACATACCTGCATCTTTGGATTGTGGGAGGAATCCCACATGACATGAACTCCACAGACACGTTCAATTTACAAGGAGGCTTTCTACATAACTTGCTAATGAAAATAATTCAGATTTTTTTATTGATGTAGCCCCAGGGAACTGGCAACACTTTGTGTGGCTAATTCAAACATTTTTTTTTATATATTTTTGATCCTTCAATGTAACTAATTCTTTCTTAAATTAATATTTTGTCAGGGTTTTATGTCAGATTAGTTTGTACCACAGCTACAAATCATTCACTAGGTTAGAACCTGCATTCTAATTCACCACCTAGTCAAGACCCTGGTTCTGGATACTGATTTTAAAGGAAAAACAAATTAAATCACTCGAGTCAACATGGTTTCCATTTCAGTGGACCAGAAAAACAGGCACTCAGTGTTCCATCTGAGCACCAAGTTATTGTACACAGCGGAGCAGGGAAAGAAAGAAATAATCACAGTAATCATAGAAAATCCCTTGGATGGTCGAGTGGGCCCACATAACATTATTGTGAGTTACCGTGGATACAAAGGATGGTGGTGTGAACATGCATGGACACATAGTGCAGTGCATTAGTGCTGCACATCAGCAAAGACAGACAGCGCATAGCAGTGCACCAGATGTGGGATGTGTAAAGCCACACAGGTTCTCCCTGTGCAACAGGAGAGCGATGAGGGAGCTGGGACAGCTGCGACAAGAGGGCAGTTTTTAATGGTGATGCTTTAGAAGATGGAACACCAGCGGGAAATCCAATCCAACAGGCCGAGCCACACGGAAGGCTTATTGATCGCACTGCCGGCCCCAGAGCTTTACTCCAAGCCTCAGGTGACACATGGTGGCTGAATGCGGCCGACAAGTCACTGTAGACATTTTGGAAAGTGAAACAGCGTATTTTCCAAGGAAAGGTAAAAATTAAAATCTCGGTAATGGTCCAAAAGGCATGCCATAAACAAAGAAATATTTGTTTACTAACCAAGGAAATGGAAATATGCCCATAACAATAGTGTATGAATTTACCATTGTTTTTTTTAGCCATAAATCTTATTTTGCAATGCAGCATAAATGGTGACAGTGGGATTAATCTCACAAGTGAATAAACATACTGTAATATAGCCTTTTTTATGGTGAGGAGAAGTGGATAGGATTTAGAGTTCAGAGCAGATTCACTGGGTTGCCTCACCGCTTTAATGCCAGTTCTCACTGAGGAAGCATTAAAGTTATAGCATGTGAAAGTGTTAAACCCATACAAGCATGCTTATCCGCGTCCTCACACAGGTGCCATACAGCAGCTCCAGGACTTGTGTTGTTTTCTTGTATCTCCTTATTTACATAACATCCAGAAAATATGCAAGACTTCAGTATGTCTTCAACACATTTGCACTTTCTGTCATGCAGTTATAAGTCTGAAGGGAACATTCAAAATGAACACTAAAGCAATACAAAAAATAATGTAGTTCTGCTACACTGCATGTAACACTGTGGTCCTGTTGCAGATGCTAGCTGCTCACTGTCCCCCTTAGGACATCATTACAGTTGTCCTAGATGTTCTCGTTTCCCTGCTCCATTTGCTTAGAATTATGCTCCGAGGTCCAGCTTGCAGATACATCTCACATACAGTACAGTACAACTGGGCTTAGACCAGAGTTGTTTTCAACGTTCCCTGATTTTGTCAGTACTTTTGTGGACCAACATAATCCAGAGGTGCATGAGATTCTGTTGTAAAAATGAGTCTGAAACACCAGAAAATAAATGCTCTTAGAAAATATTGTTATCTGCACAAATGTTACCAGTGCTGTGTCTGGATCAAGTCGCACCTACCGAAATGTGTCAAGGTCAGGTCTACAGAAAGTACTTCATGTAATATTTGATTTACTTCAAGCAATTTTAAACCACCCTTCCACTGGAAAACAATGATCTTTCTCCACTGCAAAACTCCATAATTGACACATGACATAGATCAGACTTTGAAGTCCATTACAGGATTATAAAGTCTGCCTTTAATAAAATCGAGTGGCATCGCTGGAATTTCTCCATTTTAGTAGGACCAGAGAGAAATCTGTGTTTCATTACAGACCAAAGGAAATTGTAGGCACCTCTTTCAAAATCAATTCCTCCTTCTGCTTTTACAGCATCAGTGCAATCATCATACAAGATGCCCGACTGAAGGGAGAGGCCCACCACCTCTAGACTTGTGTATTTCTTTGTTTTCAGCAGATATATAAGGTACTGACTCAGATATCCAGTTTTAGTGAGGCTCACATTTTAATTTTTTTTTCCTGCCATTTAAAATGCATTTTTAGGCAGCACTGTCTGAAGCGCAGCTTTTGTCCACTGCTGAGGTTATGCATCACTGCTGCACACAAAAGCTGCAGATTCGTCTACAAGCCAGCAGAGGCACAGTATGTATTATCTGAAAACGATCATGATGATGCGAAAAACATTAAGATATACAAAACAGAACAGTGGTATTTTCAAGTTGCACAAGCCACTGCAGAAAAGGAATGAAAAGAATGTAAGCTACGCTGGGTGGACTGCAGTGAAAAAGTAGAAGGTCGGTGCAGGGCTTCCAGTTTCCAGTGTATCATACAGTACATGCTGAATCATTTTCTTATATATTTTGCCAGTAACTCTGATCATATTAGAATAAGAACAACAACAACAAGAATAATAATAATAATAACAATAATAATAATAACTTATCCAACAGCACAGTAACACTCATATACAGATACTATACTGTAGTTATACTACAGTATCTGCAAATGCTTGGACATGGTCTTCGTGGCATTTGCTGGGTGCCACAGGCCATCTCAGCTGCATGGCACGCCTGAGTCCAGCCTCTCCTCTGCACATGCAGTTTCCTCATATGTTTGCCTGGCTTATCTTGAGGTCCTGCTCAGATGCTCATACTGCTGGGGATTCAGCTCCATGAGTGTGTGGAGGTGAGCCGCCGCCAGCAGTCTCATATTAAGCTCCACGCTCCATTGAGCCTGGATCTGAATAACTGATCCGAAGTAGTGAAGCAGTTTTTGAGAATGGATGAATGATTTATCGGATTGTTTACATATCTTATCTGATGTATATGAAACACTGACTGCGGATGAAAATGAAGGTTTGGCTGAAATGTTACACACTGATATCAAACACAGGGCATAGAGACAAAACGAGACTTAGTTTTATTACAGTGAAGAAAAAAGGAAGCCTGATGGGCAACTTTAAATCAGGGTAGATTATTGCTCCACTAGTATTTTGTTCTTTATTTTTAATGCAGCAGGAAACGGCATATATGCTCATTTTGATTCTATAACATCACAGTTTTTCCCTTATTTTTTATACTCAAGCACACACAATTCTTTGCATCTTCAATTTGCAAACATAAAAACTACATATAAAACATGTAACATATAAAACTACATATAGGAGGATTTTTACTTTGAATATGAATACATAGCACATATTTAAACGTTTAAACAAACTGAACATGTTTATTGAAAGTTTGTGCATTTTATTTATTGAAATCAGTGGGAAAAAACCCTAAAGATATTTTATGGGAGTAACCCAACCCTTCCAGTATTAAGTGGAAAGCTTCTCTTTTTAGGAATAAACATGACAATTCTCTATTCGCTGTGTTTATCACCCATTTAGGTGTAATTCAATTAAAACAAAACTGTCTTAAATTGTCATCCCTATCTTCTTTGGTTATTCTTGTTCATCGTTGCATTTGTTGTTATATAAAGCGCAGGATGTTCACTGTGCATAGTATGTCAGTAGAAGGCAATGAGATCGCAATTTCAGATTATAACATTATGTGTGATCATTTACATTTATTTATTTACCAGAAACTTTATCCTAATGGACGTACCGTAGAGAAAGGATGGTCCACATATATGGATTCATAGATAAATATCATATATACGGTCTGAAAAGTGGCCGTTGGGGTGAAGCGTGACTGGAAAAACGTAAGACGTTGCCAACATTTCTTTAGAGGCTGTTTTACTTTTGTTATAGAATGTTTGCACTGTCTGACAACACACACTTTAAGTCATTATTAAACATAATGAACACGTTAATATAATTTATGGGAAATTAAGTTATGAATTTTGCTTTTTTAAAATTTAATTACAATAAGGCATTCGTTTCTGACAGGTGCAACAAACATTAAATATAGCGTAACTCATTTGTATCAAATAATTTTCATTTCACACTTGCAGACTGGGAATTCGTTCATTTGAAAACGATGACAGAGACCGAGAAGAGCATTTTTCAAATGTATTTAATAAGGAGGATATGACGGTCCTGCTCGTTTTCGATAAGTGAGTGGGCCGGTAAGAAAGAGGGGGAGTTTGGGGACTGGACGACTCATCACTCGCTGTGATCGGGCAGGATATAAACATTCAACTGCGGCAGCAGCGCCGCGCATCGCCCGCCCCCCCTTCCTGTCATGCAGTAGACTTGTGGGAGCGACATGTTGGCACTTAATCGGATGCCTTTCTTTAAAGAGTGGTAACAGTAAATGGTTTAAGTCTACGCCACAACGGTGCCCGCCGTCTACTTAATGTCAAAGAATTGGGGCAGACATCTCTTCTTGGCAATTGCACGACAGGGAGAGCCTGCACCACACGACAAAGCTTCTGAATATACATTATCAGGTTGGGGGATATACCGGATTATTGATACTCCGGGAAGAAGCTTATAAACAGAAAGCAGGAAAAAACTATTAAAAAATGAAGAAGAATGATAACATTGTTGATTTAAGGTACAGCGCACTGAAGCCTTTGTAAGAAGTCGAATAACTCTTTAAAATGGGCGTCTTGCGGATGGTAGAGATCTGAATGCAGAACTTAGCAAATTCATTCGCTCATTTCATTACTGCTGCTGGTGACCTTGCTTTGAATGTCTCCTAGTACGAATTTCACGAAAGAAAATTACATGCAAATCATTATATGCGTCTGTCCTTAAGGAACTATCCTATTTGACGCTCCTGTTGCATTTCCATGAGAACAAGCGGGGCCTCGAAGTTATTATTGCAGTGCTGCTTAAATGCCATTACGCGATTCGTGAGATAAACTCCATTGATATGCCTTTTGCTATAGGTAGTCCAGTTTGCATGAATAGCGAGAAGACTATGGTTGGGTGCAGATCCCTGTGGCTGCAGGATGTTAAGTGTTAAACGGCACTGGAGTTGCGTTGCTTCGTATTCTCTGCTCGGAGCGCAGCCTGCGCTGGGAAATTAGCGGCGTGCTGAGTCCTGCAGGTGCGCCCGTCAGTGCTCATGGCTGAGATTTTAAATGTGATCAGATTACACGCGTTTTCTTTCGAGATCTGACTATTTAGATGCGCCTAGTGGTATGTTATTAAACCGATCGTGCATTTAAAATGTTATTTTATCGTGCTTTTTAATACAAAGATTCAGTATTTCAAATAGATTATGCATTTTAGCAGTTTAAATATAGATGCTGACGATGTGTATACAGTTTCAGGAGCAATGTTTATGTGTTTTCGATTGTTTACTCGATCGTATGACAGGGTTAATGATGAAAATATAGAAATATTTTTTTCCATTTGAAAATATGGCAATTCAAGGAATGTTGCATTCCGTTTGAAGTTAAAAGTCTGTTATTCTACCGAAAAGTAAAAGAACAGGAAATTTTACCAGTATGAGACCAGCCCTCGGAAGATCTTTAAACTTTGTGCTTTTGTCGCCACCATTCCGTTAAGGGCGATACAATGAGACTTATTCGTTTTATTCTCTTTGTGTGTCTCTGAGGTGAAGGCAGGCTGATGGTGTGAAATGAGTGGAAGCGAAGTATTGCAGGAGCGTCGGAGGAGATCTATCCTTGGAAGCAAGCGCCGAGGACTAAACGCAGATCTCGGGGAGCGGAAGGCTTCCCCCGCGCGCCTGACAGTCTTGGAGCCCGCAGTGATTTCATCCAGCCACCGCAGCACTTTTACCTGTGGTCAGGATCTCCATCCAGCAACTCCAGGAATCTCTTTATTTCCAGACTCCTTCAAAACTGGAATGTAACTTTTACTTTTGAAGACGAAAAACAAAACAAACCTGCATAAAAATATTACATATTTTTTTCCAAGAAAAAATTATATATACAAAAACTGATGGCTGTTTTTTAAGTGATAAAGGGTTAACGCTTCTGCTATAAGAGTCAGCGCTTATATTCGCACAAATATTCACGAATAACGAATCCATTGGCATTTTTCACGAGAGAAGGGAAGATCGGAAACAGTAACTACTCTTCATTATTTTCCTATATCATCATCAGCGTCAGCTTTTCTCTTGAATCAGTTTTTATATATATACATATTTTTTAATGTAATGGAACCGAACATATGACCAAAAGACTCTACGGATTGATTTTGATTGATCGTATCACAGCCTCCGTATCTATTGATGTACCGTTTATTCTGTGTATAAGCCGATTTTTTTTTTAACCCGGAAGGGGCTCTTACCCCTTTCAGTAAACACTAAGGGAACTGGTGGATCGTCTTTTGGGACTGAAGAGAATGCAGGCTGGGGTGAGAACGTTTTGTGCCGGCAGTGGTGCGTCACTCTGCTGCCTGCTTTTACTGTGGGTGATTTATTCTCACCTCCTTAGAGAAGGCAAGTAGTTACGTCCTTATTCTATTTAAACTGCATGGGGTGGGGGGCGTTGCTGGGAAGACGGGATGTTAATATTGAGTCGAATCTCAAATGCTTGCTTTTGACATGGTATGGACGTAAAAAGTGTAGCCTACCTCCCTTAAGAATAACATCGTGCATTGAGAAAAAATGCATTACATTGTCGAAGGCTGTAACTACATCTGAGCAGATCTAAAAACTCACTGAGTCTAGCCAGGGAATTATCTGATGCCTCTTACACAAACAACGGGGTTCATGTAATGCCATATGGACTGAAAATCAATATCTTACACGCGAATTTACACGTATAACGCCATGTCTGCTGTCTAATGTTTGTGTGTAGTGTAAAACTATGTAGCTGTTCCTTGTAGGCTATATGAAGCGTACGTCACATAAAGTTTTTAAGTAACTTTACTGATTTGGTATCTTGACTCAGAAAAATTGTTTACATGCTTTTCTTAAATACAATCCCAGAGTAAATAAGTTCCTCGGATTTCCAGAAAAGCTAAATTGTTCACGACATGTGCAGTCATTTAATGGTTTGTTAATGCACTTTTGACGGATGAGCCGTTTCTCGGAAGGGAAGCACTGCGGCTTCGGGGTAATTAGTGCTGAATTTGCCGGGGAGAGACGCTTTGCTGCAGCGGAGGATTTCGCCTGGCGGCGCTGCCAGCCAGCCGAGTCATCCCCCACGCCTCGCGCCCCTCCGCCTCCCCCACGCCTCGCGCCCCTCCGCCCCCCTTTTCCTTCTCTGGATTACCTCTGACGTTTCCTCCAGCCAGCGTCACATGGTCCCTCAGCTCCAAGTTCAAAGCCGTGCAAAGTGTCTTTCAGCAATTGCGTATGTGCATCCGCTGGCCCTTCTCTTAGGAAGCAGTGGTTGCCTGGTATATTTGCAGGCCCAAGGGGCACCTGCAACAAAATCTGTTTTTGTTTATATGCAAGTACAGCTACTTCGCATTAACCAGTCGCACATTGAAATTGTTCGCACATAAAGACTGTTTTGCCTTGCAGTGTGCTGGTATTTCTTGTCACATAAGTACTCTAAATCAGGAGAAATGGTCTGTCCTTCTCCATACACAAATGACTTCCACCTCTCTAATGACACTTTCATCCACTGCAAAAAAAGAAAAGAAAAAAAAAAAAACAATTCCGATGTGCAGTCCCTGGTGCCTGCTGGATTCACCAGAATATTGAACAATTATCAGTACTGAATGGCTGGTGAAGGCTTACAGAGGGACGGTCACTGTTGGCTTATGCTGTGAATGATATGCAATGCTTTTACGAAAGCAAACCAGAACAGCCCCCCCTGCCAATAATGTATGATTAATAAAATAGCTGCAGTCCAATGATTGTATTTTGTCACATGTAAACCGGCTGTTAATATTGACATTTAATCAATTTGCAAAATATCCTTGCTGACCCCCTACAACTGCTCTGCTGACCCCGAGTGTGTTGTGGCCCTACATTCAAACCCCCCGATTTACAGAAGACCTCACATTAATGCACATTGATCAATTTTTCTTTTAATATTTGTGTTTATATATAGTTATGATTAAATGCTCTTATAAATATTTAATTTACATTTACTGTAATAAAATACCCATCCTTGCATTGCTGTCTTCGCTGCACTGTATATCCAGTGCTGGATCACGGTGAATAGGGGTGTCATGAGGTGGGGGTGCGTGTTTATCCTGATTTACACACATACTCCCAGTATTGAGGAGAATTTAACAACATTATTCCATCAGAGCCTGAGCCACAACAGAGGCCCCCGTTTGATTGGATATAACCGCCAGATATCCTCAGGCCCTGGCCTCTGCAGCCATTGTGGGCTCAGCACTGATAAGGACTTGCCAGAGACGATTTTAATTCATGATATGTAATATACATGCAGGTTACGACTGAACGAGGACAGGATTACAGCCGAAAGGTCGTACAAATTGCTCCGGTGGAAATCTCCCCTTCGAGCTGTGAATGCGGATCACAGCAGATTAGTTGCTGTGATGTTTTTAAAGAGACATTTGGCCAAATTAAAAACATTTAGTTTGTCTTCTGAGTAATCAAATACCTTTTTCATGCTTCGGTAACGTGCAAACAAGTTTAGAAGCTGTTTCTTTTTCCTGTTATCGATCTGTAGGTAATAGTGCGAAGAAGGATCACAGATTTATGGACTAGACTATTTTCTTGTAGAAGAAATTGTTGCAACGCATACATGCCTATTTATAGGTGACATACAGCAGCTGATTTATGTTTTAAGAGTTTTTTTTTCTTCTAAACAAATGTTATTAGTGTTTATCTGGGCAGATCTGTCATACTTAAGCAAGTGTTCATGTAATAGCTCAAAGTGCTCAAACTAGTGATCGTAGTTCACCGAGGCTGACTTTTGGCATTCCCTGTTGTTTTTACATTCTGTTTGCCTGTCTGACTGTGACATTATTGGTTATATCTGAACTTTGTGTTTCCGGGCATGTTTGTTTGTTTGTTTGTTTGTTTGTTTGTGTTTGTTTGCGTCTGTGTCTGCCTGCCTCTCCGGCAGCTTAGTAACATGGGAATGCTCTTAACCCAATGGCTGTGAATTGCACGGTGACAGCTCTCCCACAAAGCCGCGCCATCCGTCACGGCGGCGACAGCAAATCAAAGTGCAGTTGCCTGTTCTCGCATGCCATTGGGCCCCAGCGGAGGTAGACGAATGGCCTGTCAGCACTCTTGACGCCGCCTGTTTATTTAACAATAAATTTGAAAATGCCAGGGTTTCCACTGTATCTGTTACAGTTCTTTGCCCCACCCCCACTCACATAGTCCTTGTCATAGTCAGAGGTCAGTGATTAAAGTATTTATTAATACTTTCCAAGGAGAAAAGCTATCGTTACCTGAACTATAATACTGTGATAGCTATATTGATTTGATATTAGTGTCACCACATGAAAATATACACACTACATATCATATCACAATATACCTTAAGCATGTATATATTTTGAATTAATCTGTATTAATATTTCTTTTCCATAAATAGATGTTTTTCCTTCCATTATGTTGAGGTATGTGCTGTTTTTTTATGCATTACATAGTGTATACAGTATATATACAGTATATATTTCTCATGTTTGAAATGCGTGTCAGTATTTAGCATTCTAGTAAGCTGTGTTAGCATATTTTTAGTGCTATCTAAATAAATACTGAAAACTGAATTATGTCGGCGGCAGGAAGGACATGTTGGAGGTTAATTCATGCAGTTTAAATTAAAAAGACGTCAGCTGCTGTTTACAGTAGAGCTCACTCTTCTCAGCATTTAGCATATTGGGTTACGAGTCTCGAACGGCGAAGACTCTGAAGAGCTTTGGTAGTGATATCGACTGTAGAAACTGTAAAACAAGATATGAAACTATTTTTTGGTCACAGAGGTGAGGGACACATTTGATAGAAATTGAAAACTGCATTTTCTTCTTTAATAGGGAGCAACATGAGGGAATTTGGGGCCTTGTTTGTGATGGTGATCTTTGCCATAAATTTGGTCTAAAGCGCTACTCCTGTCACAAAATGTAATGAAGCTATAAAGCAGAGGGACTATTTATGGGGAAATTGAAAGAAATCTATTTGGCTGCTTGAAAGCTCATATTTCACATCTTTCTGATGATGAGTTTTATTTCCAGTCTGCTATTTGTTTCAGGACTGTGGCTTCGTATTGCAAGCTAAAGTTCTGTGTTTTTGTGGTTACCACAGCGATGCTGAAGCCTTTAATAAGCTGAATCACTGTAAGATCTGTTTTTTCAGATGTTTAAACTTTGCATTATAAGGTAATTTTAGATATGATTATTTCTTTTAAAAGAATTTGTGGATTTTTTCTACCTTTCAAGTGATTTTGCTTGCTCCATGAGAATTTTTTCTGGTGCTCCTGTTATTTTGCTGTGCCGCTTTGCCATGGTAACTCAATCCACCCGCTCAGCAGAAAACTAGGCACCTGCTTGAACGTTGATCCCTGCCGCTTCCTGCCCTGTGCCGCAATAGAATTCACCGGCTACCCGTTATCAGGAGAATCAAGCCGACTCACGGTTTGCTGCTAATCAGTGTTACCTCCACGCCGCTTGGATGCGGGGCCAGTGGAGCAGATGGGCGTTTATGAGTTTCACGGACTCCCAGAGATGCTGAATTTCTGGCGTTTCTTCCGCTGGTGTGGAAGCAAACAGGCAGAGCTTTGAACTTTATGGCTCTGGGGCTCACTTAGCCTATGCGGCTCACTCCGGTTGCAGCCTTAACTGCCTTATTTATGAAGAAAGGGGACATGCAGCCTTTTCTGAAAGTCATAAAACTGATTAATTGAAAGTATACCTTTAATGCCTGTTGGCTGTTAATATCGTTGGTATGGCGCAGCCAGGAAACAGTTCCAGAACAGTCAGAAACTCCCAATTGCTGGAGTTGAGGGCTTCAGGGGGAGAATATTGAGTGGTCGCCATCATGAGGGGCTTTTGCGAAACTCAGAGCAGGATGCTAGATGGCGGTCAGAGCATTGGCCAGTATGTCGTTTGATTTTATACTGGAGCGTAGAAACCAAAAGACACTGAGGAAGGCCAGCAGTACTGCAGAAAGGTTGTGTTAATTGCACCCTGCATTCAGCACACGGCTTAGTCTGAGTGGGATTGTCGATGGAAATGGGACAACGGACCTCGTGAGTCTTGTCATATATAGTTACGCCACTGGCATGCCAGTGTTTTTACTGGGACACACGAAATTCACTTGCATAGGGAAAAAAACACACTAATAATAAGCTCAGTGGAAAAAAACGTTGTAAAATAGGTTGTTAATCTCTCTGTTAAGACTCATTAATGCAGTGAGGATTCCCAGACTCTGTCATGGGCCAATTTTCTTTGGTCATTAATTAAATATGTAACCTCAGCAGGATCTGAAATTTGGATTTGGATCCATTTCTATAGCACAGATTTTATTTTGTTGCTATTTTCAATGCTGTTATTAATGTGATA